AAATATTTCTCCCATGCGACTTTTTTTAATTTCATATATTACATGTAATTTTTTACTTAAAAACGAGATCTGCGGAAGATTATTGTTTGCACGTTACCTCTAATTTTTGATGAAGCATATTTTTCTCAAAGACGTCAAAGATATAATAAGTATATCTTCGCGATTTTGTGCTTGCGGCGCCGAGACTCGCATGACTCCTTAACCTTTGAGTTCAAACAATAAAAAAAAAACCAACTCAGACGTGCTGGACTATGGCTTTGTCCTCTTTTAAAATTATACTATGCTTATTCTCTTGCAAAAAAAGTTTAAATTTGCTGGCCTGTGTATTTAGATTTTAATTTTAACTTTTATTTCTGTCTATCCTTTTATTAGTCATGATTCAATAGATTGAAATATTTTAAAACAAATTCGGTAGCGTAACTAATATTAACTGTAATTTCACGATGTTTTTTCGTATTTGATTACCAAGAACTTTTTAGTACATACGCTTGTATGTATATTAGGGTGGTATAAAAAAAGTAAAGTCGGAATTTTTATGCTCTCACCCCCTAGGATTTTGCTATACCAAAAAATATACACATATTTTTATACCCGAGCGCACTTGTTCACAAGGGTATATTAATTTTGTTCACATAACGGTTGTTTGTAACAGCCAAAACGAATCGAGATAGATATAGACAAATGTATACATAAATGCTCAGAATGAATAGAGAAATCGNTGGGCGTGGCACCGCCCACTTATGATCACATATATGTATCTCGGTAACCGTTCCACCAATTTGTACCAAACTCGGTATGGTTATTGTGCTTGCCGCATAAAAGCAAAATGTTCAAAATTATTGAAATCGGACTAAAATTACGGCTTTTCATATAACGGTAAATTTCAGAAATGCTTGAAACTGCAATATTTCGAAATATAAGGACACTAATTTACTCAAAATTGATACACCCCGGCTTACCATCTAGCGGTAGGTTTCCGAAAGGTGAAAAAGATATATTTAATACTTGCGCCGGGTATTTAATGTTCGGCTCCGCCCGAACTTAGACTTTCTTACTTGTTTATTTTGGAATTAAAAAATATTTATAGGTCGCTCAAAGTTCTCAAAGTTTTCCATGTATTTTATATGGGGAAAAACAACTTTTCGTAGAAATGGTATAGAATTCTTGAAAATCAATATTTTTCGATCGGAAAACTCAGGCTCTCTTCAGGAGACCTCCAATAATAATACCCAATTATTAATTTAATTTATCTTTAATACTAAAGTCTCTTTATTGGTCCCCCATTGTATTTTCTGGGTTTTTAGCGGTTTTTGTCGGACCTATAAAATAAAGTTGCTATAAAAATAAATTAAGAATTGGGTATTATTATTGGGAATATCCTGAAGAGAAACAGGGTCTTCCGATCGAAAAATATTGATTTTCAAGAATTCTATACCATTTCTACTAAAATTTGTTTTTTTCCCATATAAAATATGTACATACATGGACAAATTTGAGCGACCTCTAAATATTTTTTGATTTCCAAATAAAAAATAAGTGTATATTTTTTCCTAGGGAGTGAGAGCATACAAATTCCTACTTTTATTTTTCACATGCCTTTTTTGACCATACTAATGCATGTACATACATACATATATATTTTTTGTGCAAACACAAGTTTGATTGTTACAGTATATGTATTTCATTAATTTCGTTAATTACGCATAAAGTTTAATGAACTCATATTTAGTAAAAGACGCGTTATTAAATACTACATTCTTACATACATACATTGGTATCTATTCTTCCACCAGAAAATTGTTGCAGAATAACAAGCAGATTGTAAAACAAACTTATATAGTATATCAGCAACAAAGCAAAAAATTAAAAAATTTACTAGATTTTCCACCAACGTAGCAACAAAACCAATCGCATTTTTTTAATGCACATTAAATCGAAATGCCACCCAACAAATCGAAATTCCCAAATGCAAAATTAAACGCTTGCAATAAAATTCGTTCATGTACTCGTAAAAACACGCAGTCATGTGTATGTCGGCCTATAAGCCAGATAATTTCACGCATTTTGTTTTTTGATCGATTAAATTGTCGTTCCAATATTTTTGGCATATATACATACATCTGTATGTAGATTTTTGAGCAATAACAGCTGGTCGGTCGTATTGCCTGCATGCAACTACTCTTTATTGCCTGGCTGACTGACTAACTGACTGACTGACTGCCTGACAGACTGACGACTGGCTGACTGACTGTCTGCGTAGAAGTTTGTCTGCACTGCTTTGGCTTGGCTTCTTTAAAATTTGCCTCATTGTTTTTTATTGTTTTTTTTTCGTGTGCTTTCGACTGACTCTCCATGTAAACAGGAAACATTTTTCGTTGGCATTTGTATGCAGTCAACTGTCAAATAGTATTTATGCGCTAGCGGCTGGCGTGTGGAAAACAAAAAAAAACCGAAAAGGAAAAAAATTGCGATGTAAACACTTTGACCTGCTTCACTTTTTGGATAATTTGTTATTTCATGGGTGGGTGATGTGAAAAAGAGGAGTTGGGGTGGGGTGAGAGGTGATATTATTTTGGGGACTATTCATAATTTGATGTACGTATGTAAATCGCCGGTTTAATTATTACATACTATGTATGTACATATGTATTTTTCATCAAAGAAAAAGAACTAACTGAAAATCTTTTTGCTTTAATACCTGAACACAAACGTGCTACTCTGTTTATTCTCTATTTCATTTACAGCCGGCATCGCCAGCAATTTAAATGGAAACTAATTTTTTATTTTCTGTCAATATCCATATAAAATTCAAAAAATTCAAATAATTTTTCACTGAAATTGCCTTCGTGAAATTGGCTGTTACAATTATCACCGCTTGCATACCGTTAAAAATGAAAATTGTTTTAAATGCCTCGTTTTGTCTAAAATTTCCCTTTTATACCAGTTATACCAGTGGGATATTTTTTCAGCTCGGTTTGTGTCATTGCTAAATTACCCTTTATGCAAGCGCTCAGTATGCAAATTAAACCGTCAGATGGCGCAATTTAGAGCTGCCATCACTGCAACACTGACTGATGGATTTCACAAAAATCAAAATTTAATTTTTAATTATTAATTTAATTAAGCTTTAAATCTAACTTTTTTGGTTAATTTTTATATATTACTTTTAAGGAATTTTATTTTATTTGTCTTTAATTTTTATACTGTATTTTATTTTTTAATTCTTTAGTTTTTGATGTTTTGTGTGTTTTTTTGTTCATTGTATTTTATTTTTTATATTCTTCTTGTTTTGTAAATTTTTTTTAAATTTTTTTGTGAAACATTTATTGTTTTGATTTAAGCTATAATGTTCTAATTAATTGTGGGGTTTTGAATTTATTTCACTAATGTTTATATATTTTTATTTTTATTTTTTGTGTTTTTTTTTAAATATTTCTTGTTCGCTTCTGTACTTTTTTACATTTTATTTTACACTGCTTTTTATTATTTGTGATTTTCTTTGTGTTTCTATTGTTGGTTTTATTTTATTTTACTTTTATAAATTTTTTAGTTTTTGTATTTTAACTTTTGTTCTTACCTGCTTCTTCTTTGTATGTAGTTTTTTAATTCAATTTATTTTGTTTCATAAATTTTTTATTTTGAAATGTGTTTGTTATTGTTTTTTAATAATATTTATTTCGTTTTATTTTTTTGCTTATTATTTCGTTAATTTATTCCTTAATTTCTTAATGTTACCTTGTATTATTTGTTTTTTAATTTTAATTTTAATATTTTTAATTTTAATTTTTATCTCTAATTTACATTAAGTTATTAAATGTGCTTTATTCTGCTTTTTAACTTCCGAATTTTATTTGTTTATATTATTTATATTATCTATTTTAATATTATTCAATTTTTTGTTTAATTGAACTTTATTTTATATCCTATCTGATTTTACATATTTTTATTTTCCTGTGTCTTATTGAATGTTTTGATATACATACATCATTAATTTTTTCTGAATTTTTATATTTGTCTTACATATCTTTTTATGTCATGCTATTTTATTTATTTTTTGCATTTCTATTTAGTTTAAATGTGTTTGTTTTGTTTTTAGTGTTTACATTTCTTTCTCAAATTAGTTATTTCTTTTTAATTGTTTAATCCTCTTACTTTATTTTTAATGCGTTTTTATTTTTTATTCCTACTTTATTTAATTTCTATTATACTATAATTTATAATCCTTATAAATTTATTTCATTTTGTATTATTTATTATTTGAATTTATAAATTGTTTATGAAATAATTTAATTTGTTTTTTTTTTTAATTCAGTTTTTTCATTGTAAATTAATTTCCTTTATTTTCTTGCTTTATTTTTATTAAATTTATGAATTAATTTATTTTGGGTTTTTATATTTTATATCAAGAGTATACATTTAATTTATTAATTTTTATTTAATTTAGTTTTATTTAGTTTTGTTCTTTTTAAATTTATTTACTATATTTTGACTGTTTATTTTGTTAATTTTATTCGTCTAACTGTTTAGTTGTTATTGTTTTTTTATGTTTAACTTAACGGTTTTCAAATTTAATTTATTTTGTATTATTTATTTATTTGAATTTATAATTTTATTTTTTAATAATATGTATTAAATTTTTTCATTTCTTGTTAAGTACAACTTTTAACTTTTTATTTTCATTTATGTATTTATAATTGTAATTCTTTATATTTTCTTTTTTATTTCACTATTTTTTATTTTTATTATTTATTTCATATTTGATTTAATGCAAGTTTTATTGTATTTTATTCTTATTTATTTCTTTTATAAAATTTTGATTGCTGAAAATTTTTTAATTTATTTTATTTAGTTTTGTTTATTTACTTTTTACCTTCGTAATTAATTTTATTTTATTTATTTATTTTTTGTTTTATTTGCCCTACTTTCCCATGTGTTTTTAATTTTTTGTTATTTTAAACAAAAAAACTTTCTTCAATCAAATTTTTTTCTTTTCTTTACAGAATCTGAGGGTGAACTTACACGCAAATACAAAACTCTGCCATGGAGTCCGCTCTACTGTGTCCTGCAGCAAGATGAGCAATCTTTCACGGCATACTGCAGTGAAGAAATATCGGTAAGATAAAAACAATAAATTATTTAACGAAAAACGCTGCTAGAATTATATATTTAATTATAATAATACCCATATTTATATAATGATTTAAAAAAAGCTGAACTCCCTCCCCTTAAGCTTGGAAAATTAGAAAATAAAAAAAATCCAAAATATTTATGATACAATTTTTGGTTGCCCAGTAATAGCAGCAGGCCTCTTAAAATTAAGGAGGACACCCCTAATATATTTCATAACAAAATAAAAATTTCCAGTTTTTCTGTATTTTTTTTTTAAGGTTAGGGGAGTACTTATATGTAAATATGAATTTATTATTATTTAAGTATCATTCGAAGTATCAATATATCGTTACCTTTATATAAAAATATGACCTTTCTCACATCGTTGTTGACATGCAGAAAGCCGTAAATAACTAAAATTTGTTACAAAATGAATCAAAAAGTGAATTTTAAATTTTTAGTTAGTTACACGGCTTTTTGTATTTCAGCGACAATGCGAGATAGGGCTCTTCTGTATTAAGGAGACGTAATGTACTGTGTACTTATAAATTAACTTAACTTTAGTTAGGTATTCGTACTTATTTATTAAAAAAAAAAAATAAAACAACATTATTGCTTAACTACTTAATATCAAAATATTGCTAATTTTCATTCTCTCTCTCTCTTCTCGTCACTCCCATTTTATGCTTTCACTACACTACCTCACCTAAAAACTGAACATGCACTGAAAAATATTATTAATTACTAAAAATGCACACACAATAACAAACCAACCAAAAAAAAAAAATAATAAAAAATCACAAAAAAAATTTAACAAAAAAAAACATAATACCGCTAACCTGTAGATATTCCCGGCTACACCTAAAAAGGAGGTGGGTAATGCTTAAAGCTAGAAATTAACATTAACTTGAAGCACAAAGCTATTTATTTTTTTAACCTTTTCACATTTATAAATTTTTAACATTTCTTTAATTTTATTTAATGTTCAGCGTTCAAAATTCGTTATGTTTTCTGTGGAAAATTAGCATAATTAGGTTTGTTTCAAATACACAAAAATTTGACCCAATTTCCCAAGTTTCACTCATGATGTTAGTGGAACCGCGACTTAACTTTCCTATGTAGAGAAACTCACCCAGTCTTAATGTAACCCGGTTGACTGAAGCCTGGCGGCAAAGTTTCCGACTAATCTCGGTGACTTGCTTGTTTAGAAGTACTAGATTTTCACCCTATTATGGCTTTGATGGCCCTTATAGAAAAGTTCTCAGAATCAGATAAATCAGCGCTGGTACCACAGTGCTTCTCGAGAAGTAAGTGCGTCTCAACAGAATAATCTCCGCAAGAATGTGTAAAATTTCACTATACAATGGGAGGCAATCATCTTTAGACTAATGGAAAGTCAATAGATTTGTAGTCATTTGGCCTCAGATTTTCCCCAACATTTTGTTAAACCAGCCACGACTATGAAGGCTCTTTAAGCTTTATTGGCTCTTTCTCCATTAGACGCTTAGTTTGACAAGCTACAGGGCAGCTGCAATGAAACCATATTGAACATAAATTGCTAATAGAGAGCAGGGATTTGTTTACTTAAAAATTCTGGACATCATTCTAGATGATTTGAACTTGAATTCGCTGATACTCCCTACTCTGTTTGACAAGTGCTTTAGAGAAAATCTCAAAGAGCAACGAATGACAACTCGCCGAATTTCTTATGTTCGAGACAAAAACGACAGGGTTCTTTAAACCCCAGCCTATGTTCTGCTGGTCACTGTAAGGTTTCCCAAGATTACAACTATTACCGAAGCCGATGTTTGGTTCAAAAACACCGCCACAACAGTGTAGCTATTCCATTATCTATGCTGACAATAGGGGTTTATCAAGTTCCTACAACCATTTACTTTAAATGAAATTTTCTTTAAAGGGTTAGCCATTTGTAGGTTAGTCATATGCTATAACAGGAGTAAAATTCCGGTGGTCGAAGACGGCCACATTCGCCGATACTGGCTACTCGGTATTATCGACCCACGCTGATAAGAAAGCGCACTCTATCCGAATGGCGAAGACGATGGGACTCAGTAACCAATGACCGATGTACATCATATCGGCTCGTCCCTGATATTGAGACCTAGGCCAATAAAGCACATGGAGAGATGAACTTCAACATCACGCAACTACTACTTGTGCGTACGATTTCCCCGAACACGCGGAACACTTCTTTTTCTATTGTCCACGTTTTCACGTGGAGCGGGGGGTTCTATACGAGGCTTCCTAACTATGGAAGGAAATTAGTGCCATAAATATTGAAATCTAAAACCTGGGAAGCGGTTTACACGGCCGCAGCATCAATAATTGCCAAATTGAGCAGTGAAAAAAATTGCGTTCTGTGCGACGTTGTCTCCAGTATCTGAAGCGGTAACTTCAAGAGATACAAAGACTCCGGAAACCCTGTATGTGGAAAGCTGGTTCAGTTTTGACTAACAGCGCTAATACAGGCATACAGGCAAACGATGTAGGAGGGGACGGGGTGGTAAACGGTATAGCGGAAAGAGAAGGCGTATAGGGGGTTTGGACTTTTAATGCGTTCTCCTTGTATAAAAAACAACATAACCAACGATTTTATGTTCAGGACTTCTGGTTAGGTTAGGTAAGCTGGCTTCGGAGAGAGAAAAGGTCCATAGCTTTACCAGATAAATCGAAAAATATCGCATAACCTTGTTGTACCCCATCTTGGCTGCGGTTTCTAAGTTAGGCAGAAAGCCTACTCCCTGGAGACTGAATCGTACTCTGCTAAGGGCTGGACACTCACGAAGTATATACTCCTCTGTCTCCTCTTTCGTTCTGCAACTCTTACAGATTTTATCATTAGTCAGTGCTAGTTTAAAGGCGTAGTTTGCCAACAGGTAAAGTCCCATTTGGACATCTACCAGTAGCCTAGCATCCTCCTTCTTGAGGGAGAAGCTTTGCGTTTTGGTGCACGCCTTCTGCGTTTTCCGGATCATTGATATATCGAGCTTCCATCTAATCTTGTGAACGCTATTGTGCACTGGAGCCCAGTACAGCTGTACGTCAGTACCAGTATGTAGCAAATCCAGAGCTGTCCTGTACTCCGCCACACTTCTCAAGCAAGTGCGCCTTTATCGCAGCCGGAGTATCGATGTAGAGATTCATCTGTTTGTTTACTAGGCTGCTGCTCGGTAGACATTCACCGAGCCAGCACCCTTCATGCCCTCCCGCTACCCCTCGACCTCTATAGTGGCTGCGAAGTTCGTCCCAAAGTGCAGAAAGTGCAGATCCGAGATCATTTAGTAAATTTGACGCTATACTACTGTGCCCGTAGGACCTGCACACAAACTGCCTCGTAGCACAAAGCCTGGCGGCAGTTCTTGACGATATATTCTTGGCCAAAAAGACCGCCGGCCAGAGATGAAACAAGGTGTAAATTGATGCCGCTGGTGTTGTCCTGAGTACTCCCCAACATGCCGATCATTGTTAGCCTATATATTTACACTTCCTATTCTCTTGATAAATGTTTTCTTCTTCACTGCTGTCCACCAAACCAGTACCCCAAGGAACAGTATCGGCCTGACTAACGCCATAAAGATCCGGTGAGAAAGGGAATGCGATAAGCCGCAGGTGCAGCCCAGCATCCTTTTGCATGCATAGAATGCTACTGAGACCTTCTTTGCCCTCTCCTCTACATTGAGGCGCCACTACAGCTTTTTATCTATAGTTATTCTGAGATACTTGGTGTTTTGCTTCAGCTGGAGCTTCACCCCATCCAGCTTAGGCTTATAACAGTTCGGAACCTTGTATTTCCGGTGAAGAGTACCAGATCCGTCTTTTCTGAGGTAACACCCACCTCGGTTGCCCAAAGATATATCTCCCTTAGTGCTAGGCCCATAAGGGAGCTGAGTGTGGACATACACTTACCGCTTACTACGACAGAAATATCATCCGAATATGCCGTAAGTTCGGCAGGTCCTCTTTCCAGTTTCTTAACCCACCAGCATACCTTTGTAAACCGGTTTGATGGCCTCATGCCTACCCCACTACGCCGAAACACTTCTGCAGATAAACATACTGCTAATCCAGCTCGAAATTACAGGATGAACTCCTATTGCGGTCAATCCGTCTAAAACGCCTTCCTTATAGACATTGTTCTCCTATCTCCAGGGTCGCCTCTATGCGTCTAACGGACTTCTGATAATTGAAATGAAATAGCGAAAGGAGTCAGAATCTAAGCCCGCGGTAGTCGCCTAGTTTCTGGAAAAACTTCTGTGGATCCTACATACACAGAACGGTTGATTATTCTACTAAAAATTTAGGTTATTTTGGATTTATTAATTTACATTGTTTTGTATAACATTTTGAGTTTATAATCCTAAGACCCAGTAAATATTTTATTATTATGTTCAAAGTTACTTCTAAATTTTTTGTGAATATTTTTTATCATTTCAATATATTTTAACTTACCAAAGCATTTTTATATTTTGTTTTATGTATAAATACCATCATATATATAAGTTTTATTATGTTATTCTCTGATCTCTACATTTTCATTCTTTCACTTCACCAGTTGCTTGACTTCTAATAAAAAAATGCATTTAATTTTCCCAAACACCAGCTAACAGACGTACTCTTCAATGAGTATCCACGTGTGCGGCTGGATCGTGTGCGGCGGCCTGCAAAAGCTTTGTGGGATGGTCCGCCAACATTATGCGAGGAACCTGAAGATTCAGATACATGTCCCATGGATATAGCGCTGAATACGACACTCTACAGTGAATTAGGTAAGTGATGTTTAAAATTATTTTACTAAGTATATAGGTCTATATTTTTAAGATTTATAATAGAAAAGTTTATACGGTCTATAAAAATATTCTCGGAAATGAAGAGATACATATGAAATTATGCGCCAAAAATAGGCTTTAGAATTATCTTGTGCCGGTACATTCATCTTAGATCATAGGTGACCAGTGGGAGCTTTTACAAGCAGGACCTTGGGATATGTTTTGGTCATAACCAACGTAGATGGGCAAATTCGGGTTGGTTTTCATAAAAAGAACTGTGAAGCCAAATTAATGTTACGAAGATTCAGATTTAATTGAGAACCAAAGAAGGGCGACCTCTTCTTAAGAACGGTGTAATCTGTTCTAGAGCAGGGTGGTATTTTTTGGAAAGTAGGCGATTCTACGATAGAAGGGGGCTAAGTGGGACTTGAGACAACGACTCCTTATATATATTCCTTTGGGTTCTCGGTAATTTCAAGATCCAGAAACGTACAATACGACTAGTATGAATAGAAAGCTAACTCACAGTATTTATAAGATAAAGAAGAACTCCGACGCGACAGAGGAAGATCATAGATCCTGTTAAGAGTCTCAAAAACACACAGAACTTCTACAACTCTTCATAAGAATACATATGTGGTACCATCCCATTATCCCTGGAGTTCCTATTAACAGATGCAACTAAAGATATACAACGAGAGCTAGGTTAGCTTCTGTTGACGGAGCATTAGGCTAGGGTCCCTTTGAGATACCGCTTGAGAGTTTTGGTTTACTACTATTCTCTTACAACCAGCATAAATTTCGTCAAGTGACTGACGGATATCCTCGGACGCGAGAAAATAGACTTTCTCGTAGAATTATTTGCCTAGTGTTAGAGTAATATGGCCACGAAGAGCCGCTGGATGTTGACAGAAGGGATGTAATATGCTTCATTATCCCACAGAAATTGTTCCAAAGGACTCATATGATATGGCTATACATATGTAAGGCGATTCTATAGGCATCCGTAAGACTTTTAACGAATTTCAGGGGAGAATGCTAGCGCCATAACGAATGAACTCATCTGAATTGTAAATACTCCAACGTCGTAACAGAGTTTAACCCTTTCAGGACCAAGGGCAAAATTTTTCTATAGAATTTTCTGCTCATACGGAAATTGTGTGAAAAAGTTTAAAAATGCTGTTTTTTTCGCAATAATAAAATTTTGGAAAAAAATAGTATTACCAAAACTAGATAAATTTGCCAGCATAAAAAAAAATAGAAGAAAAAATCATTAAGAGCAAAATTTAAGTTTTGAAAAAAAAATTTTTTAAGTATAAAGTTAATGTTTAGAAAAAAAATATTGGAAAATGAGGGTATTAAAAAAGAAATCATTTTTTGAAGAAATATATAATTTTTGAAAAAATTTATAAAAAAAATGAAAGTTTTTTAGGAGAACAAATATTTAAAAAAAAGCAGAATAAATTGCATATTAAACATAAAGCGATTTTTAGTGACATATTTTTAAAGAAATTTAATTAGAAAAAAGGTTTTTCTTAATAATTTATATATTAGGAAAACTCATATGTTTATTTATCACTGAGAAAACAATTAACCAGAAATTGTTTTATATTACCAAATGCAAACCTGAAAAGGCATCAATGTGATTTTTGTTTCATATTACAATGCCTTGGTTGATATTTTCAACAACGATGTGGTAATATTAACCAAAGTTTTGTTTACATTAAAAACATTTTTCGTGACCGATTTTTTCGTTTGAACACGTTTATACTCTACACTTCGATAATAATAAATAAAATAAATAAAAAAATTACGTGTCGCCTCTGGCGGTCATCGAGAATCCCGCACCTGCCGAAGCTAACAAATATTTATAATAATGCATAGGAATACAGTCCCGAAAGGGACAGACATTACTTATACGGGCTTTCGAAATGTCTCTGCGGTAGGCGGCATTTCACGGCTACTTTAGAAGTAAGTCCCCTTTCAGACACGTCAAGTCTTGCTTTCAAGTCTGCTCGTTTGTTGGTGAAGGAGGTGGGAAGAGAGGGGAAGAGTACAGATACCTCCGTACCGTAAATTCGTTTCAAGTTTTCTTGTTCACTTTTGATCTTTTCGTTGCTTCCCGTTTAAAGAACCAAGTAGTTGAATTCAATAAAACTTGATGCGTGTGGAAGCAAAGAGAAAACACAAAAGAGAATGCGATTAAAATTTCTTTCAAGACTTGACGTGTTTGAAAGGGGACTAAGCAAACTTTGTTCAAAGCCTTTGATAGCTGCCTGCTGTCAGTGAAAATGTGAAATTCATTGCACTGTACCGTAAATGGTCATCATCTCCGCCTGAAAGAATAGTAATCAGGTAGAATGATGTACCAAAATATTCCAAATAAACACCGCCTTCTAGCCTTCCATTGAGTTCCAATCAATCCACGCATATGTGAATGACCTCAACCTCTGGACTGCGGTCGACTTCCATTCATCTCTGAAACTCAGATTCTAGGAATACCACTACCTTGTAGACGGTCTAGAAAGGATTTCGTTGGAAGAGCTGACTTAATCATGCATAAGTAAATCAGATATAAGACTGAATACCGGGTAAGACTGATTTTCCAAGCACCCAGTAATTTTTGCCTATTGTACTTAATGAATCCGAATTGTTGATCGAACTTAGTATAAGGAATGCCGTACACAAAATCTGCATAATGGTGACACGAAGACACTTATCGTCATAATATATTGATCGAGTGTCTCGGAACCCAGTCGAGACAAATTTGTTCCGGTTTGAAACGGGACTTCTTGAAAAGGTTCTTTAGAAGATAAGAAAGATTTTGTATCCTACTAAATTAAATACGTGCATGCATAATTTCTTTACATATATCTTGAGTAGTTCGTTCTCCACCCCGAAAATGTGCTCCCCTTTTAGCAGAGAAGTTGTGTTAATGCACGCCGCACGTATATTAGCTGGCACTCCATAATCTTTCTTAGGCGTCCCCATTGCCATCGAAGGTGTCATGGCAGGTGTTGCACGATAAAGCAGGCGATCAAAACAAAAGTGTCAATAAAATGTGGGCATTGTCAACAAACACAAACACACACTCCCAAATATATGTCTTCAACCGAAAAAGGCCATAAACACAACCGGCAAAACATCTTATGTATAGCAACAAATGAAATAACTCGCCGTCTCAATTTCGCTCTCAACCACACCAACATTTGTACATAGAAAAAGAAGTGGTGTTCAGCTTTTCAAAATGCTCCAGCGTTCCATTGCCAATGCGTACCCTTCTCACTACACAAGTCACACATAAATTTAAGTACGTTGGTGTGTTTTGTTAAGAAACTATGTTCCAGCAACATGTTGCGGAACAAAAAATTCATAGGAATATGTTGTCAACGCCGCCGATGGTGTTTTTAGGAATTGTTATAACTTTTCTTGGAAAAATGATCTACTTTAGGTCTTAAGTTCTTACCTAACTATTTTGAGAAATTTTTTAGTTTTATTTGTTATCGAATTAATTTCCTAATTCTTTCTTCTTTTAAACCATTTTGTTGTTGAAAAATGTTTTAATGTTAAGCTCAAACAAGCGTTATTTTAAACTACATACCTAGATTCAGCAAATTTTTTGTTAACAATTACAATTTATTAAAAAATAAATTATATCAAATGAGTGGTATTTCCAAGCACATTTGAAATGAACTTTTTTCGAATAAGGTTACCGCCTATGCAAAATTTTAATCTAATCAAATACCTTAAAAAATTTTCGAACTAGGGAGCGTTTTAGAAAATATTTTATTCTATAAAGACTCTGAAAGTATTTGGAAATGCACATATTTTGAAAACAAAAGTTTATTAAAAAATAAAAAAATTAGAACAAAAAATATTTAAATATGAATATTAAATGAGCGTTATTTCAAAACACATTTGTAACGAATATTGTTTGAGTAGGGTTACCATCTTTAAATTTTAATCTAATCAAGAAAAATTTCGAAACAGTAAGCATTTAAGAATATTTTAGTCTAAAAAGAAATTTTGAGTGATTCTCAATCAGTCTCGTATAAAAATATTTATTTTCAGTAGAGTAGCCACATACATACATATTTTTCCAGTTGTATTTTATTAAAAAAAAAACAAACCAATATATTTAAACAGCGATATCAAGTGCGCATTATTTTAAAACAATTTTATAGAGAAAATTTTTAGCAGGGTTACCAGCTATCAAAAAAGGTAAAATTTGTGAAATACCTTAAGTGTTTCAATTGTTAAAAAAGAACGAACTTAGAATATTTTAAATGAAAAAGTCTTCCATGTAATAAATTTATTTTTCAATAGAGATGCCACCTTTTTAAACAATTACAATATGAAAAAAAAGAATATTCAAATATGGGTATCAAATAACCCAATTGTATTCATAATTTTTGTTTGAAAAGGATGCCGCCTCTTAGACAAAATTAATTAAATACATAAGTATTGTGTTCAATTCCATTCAATTAAATAATTACAAACGATAGTTATTTTAGAACATTTTGATATAGAAATTGCAAATATTTTAGAATGGTTTATTAAGTTTATTTTCTGACAGACTTGCCAACCCCTTTAGCAACTAAATTTTATATAAGATAAGATTCTAAAATATTTAAACGTGCACGGCAAACTTGAAAACAATTTCAAACAGAAAATGTTTAAACAGGGTTGCCACCTATCGTGAAATTAAATATTTCCAAAATTTTTATAAACATTTTAAGCTACATATGTATTTTTCAGGGATTTCAGATTAATTTTTCAACATAGTTGCCACATTCTTTAAAAAAATGGATCTAAGCTAAGAATTTTAAATAATTAAACATTAATCTCAAATGCGCAATATTTCAAAACCCATGCATTAGAGAAGTTTTAAAACGGTTGCCACCCGCAAAAAGAAAATTAATGAACTTCTTTAGGTATGTAAATTTCTACAAGTGAAAGACATTTTAAAATATTTTAATATACAAAATTTAAAGTTGTTGAAATAATTTAGGTGCGCAAATTATTATAGTTTGTGAATAGAAAACAATTCTAGTTTAATAAATTTTCTCAAAGAAATAGGGTTACCATCTAAAAGGTATTTTAAGTAATATTTTTTTTCTAGTAGTATTCAGTATTTCTTACTACCAATTCCTGTTGTTTCGCATTCTGTTTATTTAGAATATTTCCCAATTAAATTTATGCAATTTCCTTTTATCTCCCCTCGCTTCACTGCCCTTTAATTATTGTTATACCTGCACCTATCGCATTGTACAATATGTACATATTACAGATTTTTACTGATTCTTTTTTTTCGAAAATTTCTGTTGTTGGCTACAACATCGTCCGTCACGCATGCACGCGCATTCAGCACAATACAAGCAGAGTCGCGCCGCCATCATCGCTGCCCAATACACGCACACCACCCGATGCGATCGACTCGAACAAAAGACCCACACAATATCGTTTCTAGCTGGCTGACTGATTGTCTGACTGGTTGACTGGCTATTTGCCTACCAGCCGCCTGCAGCCACCTATTTTTTCTTCTGCTTGGCTTCTCGATTAGCTGTCTCAATTGTCATTTATGCTTATGCAGTTGTTGTAGGTGTTGCATTTTTTGACGTATGCGTTCATTTTGATTACCAGTTTTGCTTAATACTTGCTGTTGTTGTTGTTGTATACTACTACATATAAAGAGTTTGATTTGCTATTCTTTAGAACGTCAATAGCGATTTCACTTGAATTTGAATTTCAAAAACGCATTTAACATACTTTTTGTGCTGATTTTTATTTTTATTTTGGTTGTACGTAAAAATTAGAAATTTCTGTGCTGACTATCAAATGAGCTTTTTGGACTTGGGTGTGGTCAGTAGTCATGTTCCCTTTTCTCGTTTTCCGTGAAAGGGGCGCAGCAAGTCGGTTATCAACCTATAGAATTAACCAGAAGCTACATATTTTGAGTTAATACAATGCCAGAATTTTCGGAAGAAAATGTTTTTTTTCAAACAATATTTTTTTATTGAAAGTTTCATAATGTGCTTGATATTATTTTCAGAAAATTTGAGTGTTAGACCCATTTTCTCAAGTAGCTTTAAAAATGTATGTACATTTTAAACACAAATTATGCTCCCAAAAAAATTTTAATTTTGCTATAATTTATATTTTGTCATAAAAATTTTATGTAGAAGTAAACTTCTGATTTTTTCCAAAATTTCTAAATCTATTAAAAATATTTAAAGTTCCTATATGTGGATTTAGAAAATTTTATCGCAGACTTTCTGAAGTTATCTTGAGTTAAACTGGCAAAAATATTGTAAATTTTCATAAAATTTTTCTTTGGAATTACAAACCAAACAAAGTTAATGAAAACTTTACTGTTCGTAGAAAAAATATAATATTCGTTGAAAAATCTCTGTTGCAGTCAAATACATATTTCACAAAAGTAAAATTTTTAATGAAGTGTTTTCTGGTCTTGTAAAATTATTTAAAAATAAATTAGGAAAAGCAAACAGTTTTTTTTTGTGTTTGTAAGCCTCCTTTTATTGGGAACTGAATACACTTTTAAAAAAATAATAAATACATATGTAAAGTACAAAGTAAACAAAAATAATATTTTATTAAAAAAAGTATGTATGTACATATGTAAATGTTCCAAAATAGAAAAAAAATATAAGAAATATCAAATGCTTGTTTGCAGTATATCTGAAATATTTTTAATAAAATAAAAAAAAACATCAACAAAATTAGGTTTTCTTTGGCTTAAATTTCGGAAAAGGCGTAAAAAAATAAATCAAAAACAAAAACTTTTAAGAAAAATTTTAAGACATACGTCGTTTTTTTCATTTCGGTTGCTTTAAATACAAAAAGGCAGGAAAATAAAAAAAACTTTAGAAAAGTACGATATAAAATATATATATGAAATTTCCTGTGAGCTGCTTTACTAGTTTAAGAAATTTTGACAGAAACCGTTTATTTTTTATTTTTTGTATGTATAAAAAATTCGTTTGTCTGCATGCTACGCATATGTAGGTACTACTGAAATTATTTTCAAAAATGTTTCCTTAAAAATTTAAATGATCTTCGAAATTTTTGTTTAAAGGTCATAATATTTAAAAATTTTTTCGCTGTAGTTTTTGGAAATTTTCAACAAAGTTAAACAAAACACAACCATTTGTCGAAAAAACGGTAACAAATAACAAAAAAAATATTTGGTTACATTTTTTCGGCAGAATTCGCAAACTTTTAAATTTTTGTATAAATATTTAAAGTTAAAAAGTCTTATTTATCTGTAAAAGCTAAAAATTTCAAAATTTTTCCTTAGTGTTTCTGAAATTATTTAGAAAAAATTTCCTTATTTTAAAATTTTAAAGGAATTATTTTCTCCAAAAATGTCTCGTGGTAAAAGAATTAAAAAAATTTTAAAATTTCTTCGCAGGGTTTTTTAAAACATTTCAAAAAAGTATGAAACAATTAGTAAAATATGTATGTACATATTTTTGGCTGAAATAAAAAGGTCTGTACATGTACATTCTTCGGCTGCAATAAAAAAGTAATTTTACATAAGTAGAGTACAGGTTTTTGACGAATTTGATAAAAAAGCATTTAGTAAAATTTTTAAGGCAGAATTTTTTTAAATTTCTCAGTGAAATCAAAAAAAGAAAAAATTTTAAAATCAAAAGAGTAATTTTTTAACAATAAACAAAAGTTTTTTCTTCTGGTGATAGAATAAACAAGGGGCAAATTTATTTACATGGTAAAAAAAAAATAAGTAAAATGTTTTACTACGATATTTCTGAATTTTTTCAGCAACATTGAAAAGAAAGTATTTAAAATAAAAAATATAAGTGCTTAACAGTGGAAAATAGTTTTCTTGTGATAGAATAAAAAAGAGAAATTAAAAAAATTTATTTTTTTTTTACAAACACATACAACATTTTTTTCTTGTTCTAATGTTGGTTCAGAATTTCTGAAATTTTTTTAGTGAACTAAAAAGTAGGAAATATGAAAAAAATTTAAGTTTTCACAGTAGAAAAAATTCTAGGGATGAAATAAAAAAATTCAAAAATTTCAAAACTTTTCGCAGATTTTGATTCAAATAATTTTCTGAGGGCTGTTCGAATGTGCATTTTAAAAACTAAAAAAAAAAACTAGTGATTCAGAAAATTAATTTTTTTAATGAGTTTCCTGAATATTTATTAAAAACTCTAAGGAATCTAAAAAGTACATAATTAAAATAGAATTAGTAAATTTAGAACTTTTTTAGATTTAAAAATTCTATTATTTAACTCCATTTCAAGAGAAAAGCAATAAACGTTTCTTTACATAGAAAAGTTGATTGCTATAATTAAAAAAATCTGTGGCCAGGAGAGCTCTTCTTTCAAAAAAAAAACTTGCTAGAAAAATTTTCTATCTTATCCTACCACAGACTTTCTAAAAATCTCTTTTCGTGTTTGCGCCCAATTTACTTTTAAGTCGTAAACCCATTCCACTGTGCCAATTCGAAAATATGTACATACTAGAATCACGATGATCACTCATACGCAACGGAGTACACACGAACACACACACTCAAAAGCTATTGTCTGAGATTTCGATGATATTCAGGCAACTACGGAAAACAGAAAAAAGGCGATGCGGAAAAAACGATATTGAAACCAAAATAAAATAAAAAATCGCGTTCAAAACGCAGTGTTGCATTACAGTGCACAGCAATAACAACAAGTATGGCAAGAAAAGGCAAAACGGCAACTGAGGCGGTGGTAGGGTATTCGTGTTAGCACCAGCAACAAAAGCCGCTTGCTCAAAGAGCATTTGGGAGTAGAAAACCAGCAAAGTATTTTAACAAATTCTCTGTTTTGAATGAATTTCATTTCCGCTGCGTTGCGTACGTGTTCGCAAGCTTATTGAAACGTTAGGGAAAATGGGAAACAGAGGCGCCTTCACACACGCACACACAACTTCGAACTTTTTGTGTGTGAGAACACTTGCGCCAATACTGAAGCCGTTGAGAACACACACACACATGTGTCTTCTGGGCCCAACTCGAAACGCCGCCGCCGCCAAGTGCCAGTTCATATTCAGTTTCCGGCGGTACTGGCCGATATGACGGATGACGACGATACTCGTACAATTGCGGTTTAATTTTCACGTAGCGGTGTTTTTTTCGACTTTCGTGTTTTTTCTTGTTGTTGTTTTGTGCGTGCATTTTGTGTGTATGGCCACGGTCGAATGCGCATGCGAGTAAAGTCAAATAAACAAATAATTTAACAACAAGAAGCGGCAACGACTCGAACATCAGTCAGTCAATCGGGCTGTCAGTCAGTCAGGCAGGCACATGAACAGTTGAGCCGTACCGGTCGGTGGTGGGTCGGTTGCAAATATTCATTCGACAAATTTTGTTATGAATTTTATGACTTTTCTGCGCGCTGGCGGTTGTTAAACAGAAAATTTTAATTTTGGATTTTCGAAGATCCGCCAAAGAATGTGTGTTTGTGTGTGTGGGTATGCAAATTTGTACATACACATGAATACGTCAAGCGAATGACCCGTACGCTGTGAGACAGACGTTCAGTAGGTGGTTATGTTTTGTGTGCTTGCTGCTTTTTGTGAGAAGTTCAAACACATTTGAATGCAAATTTCAAGTCAATGATTTTTTTCCTTTTGTAAATAAGGCAAACAATAATGCTTGCAACGACAAAATATAAAATAAAATCGCAAAAATAAAATGATAATTTAATAAAAAATTAACAGCTGTGTTGAAGCGTGAAAAATGCAAACAATTTTTAAACAACTGCGCCAAGTGGCTTTTGGCGGTTTGACGTTGAATTGATGTATTGCGTAAATTGAATATTTTTTTTACAAAACATCAATTTTTTTTTACAAAACATATCAATTAAAATTTCTTGCATTGGAATGGACAAAAAAATAAGAATTGGTCGTTTCACAGTTCCATTGCCACAATGTCATACACTTGAAAATGGTAAAAGTGGTTTTGTGGTTGTCTTAAATATAATGTAGTACTTTCAGTTGAAGTTTGATGGGTCGAAATTTTTAAATTTTTTGGGAGTTTCCATTTTATGAAAAAAAGTTAAAAAAAAAATTAATTCCGAATAAAATTTTTTTCCTAGAAAATTTTATTTAGTTATAACTAAAAGTATATACCAAATGATTTATCAGTAAAAATTTAATTCTGCGAAAAAAAATTTCAAAATTATTTCGCCAAGTTTGTGAAACTATTTCCGGCAAAAATAATAAAATTTCAATTTAATTAATTTCTAAAAAAAATAAATAGATAATTTCATTAATTAATTTTTTTCTCGCCAAATTTCTAAAATTATTTCCAGCAAAAAATTAACATTCAAAAAGTTTTTCTCCAAATCTCTGAAACTTCCGACGAAAATGATTATTCAAAAACTTAAATTTTTTCACTAACAGATGCTTTCTCCAGCAATTTAAATGGCTAATGATTTTTTATTTTCTGTCAATTTCCATATGAAATTCAAAAAATTAAAATCGTTTTTCACTAAAATTGTTTTCGTGAAATTGGCTGTAAATCGCTGAAATAGTTTCCGACAAAAAATTAGAACACTTAAAATTTCAAAATTGTTTCGTATTTAAAACTTTTAAGTCATTAAAAACTTTAAATTTTTATCAAAATTTCTAAAATAATTTCCTACAAAAAATTAAGACTTCCGACGAAAAATAATGATTCAGAATTTTTTTTCACCAAAGGCTTCAGACAAAAAATGGAAAAAATTAAATATCTCGTGAAAGATTTTTAATGTACATATAATAATTATGTATAACTCAAAAATATACAAAATATTTAACAGTAAAAATCTAGTTCAGCAAAAATAAAATATTCAAAAATTTAAAAATTTTTTCATTAAATTTGCGAAATTATTTCCGGCAAAAAATTAACGTTGGAAAATGCAATTTTTTTCCGCCAAATCTCTAAAATTCTTGGCGGAAAATAATAATCCAAAAGCCAAAATGGTTTCAAACAAAAAACCAAAAAAATTAGAAATTTTCAAAACTTTTTCCATAATACTTTAAAGTTATTCCTTTCGAAAATTCAAATTTATTCGCCGAATTTATGAAACTATTATCGACAAAGCTTAAAAGACTAAAAAATTATTCGCAAAATTTTTGAAACTTCCGACAAAAAAAAATATCAATTCAAAAATTTTTTTTCAAAACCTCTGAAATTGTGTACGCAAAAAATTAAAACATTAAAAAATTTAAAATTTTTTCGCCAAATCTTAAATTATTTGCAATAATACAAAAAAAAAATAGTAAAATACACTTTGACTATAATTTAAAGAGTAGGGTAAAGGTAAAAATTTAAATACACTTTTTCGAAAATAGAGTAAGAGCCGGTTTCACCAGCAGTTTAAGTGAAAAATTATTTTTTTACCTCTTTCAGTTGTTATATTAAATTCAAATAAAAATAATCAATTTTCACTTAAATTGCTTTCGTGAGACTAGCTGTTAGTTTTTGACGACAAATTAAAACAAAAGTTACATTTTGATTAAAACATTTTCATAGTTTCTCTGAAGTTAGTTTAAAAAAAAAGTAATTATAAAATTCAAATAATGCATCAGCGAAAGTTTAAACCTCCAATTGTTTTGCTACAAAATTCTCTTTTATCATAAACTTATTTCCATTAAAACAGAATCCTAGAAAATCTCTTTTTTCATCGAAAAATTTCTGAAATTATTTTCAATAAAATAAGAAAAATCAATAAGATTGTATCTGGCTGCAATCAAGGCAAGGCGAATTTATACGAGGTGGTCTTACTAGATCAGCTGATTTTGTGTGTATGTTTCGCCTCACGTCTTAGTGCAAGGTGAATTCATAGAAGATGAATGTGGCAGTACAACAACAAAAAATTACACCAAAAAATTATACGCTTGATACAAAAAATTTACAACAAACACATCACATTGACAATCGGCGCAATTCAACTGATCCGGTTACAACACCTTGTGTGAATTCGCCTTGGCTTAGAATGTCAAATTGAATTGGAAACAAATAATAGAAAATTCGAATTTTTAATAAAAAAAAAATTATTAAAAACACCTAATGGTTCACAGGGGAAGTCATCGCTTCCCTATCACTAAAGAATTCCCAGCCAAAAATGCCTTAACATTCAATGCACTGAAAAAATGGTCGAAACCTAATAAAGTTTTCATATGCTTTGAAAATTTCCCCGGAGGTGCATTGAAGATTTCGAGAAATTTTAAAATTTTCTGAACACCTACTAAAGTTTCCAGGAATATTGGTGGAAAAGCACGCACTGAAATATTTTTTTTACAAGATTGGTATTATTGGTATTACAAGATCTTTCTCTTACTCGAGATCTTTTACCGAGCCCGTACTCTACCAGGTTTGCTTCACCGATTCTTTAGAAAATATGGCCCTGATCGGGGAGGTAAGGTTGCATTGAAAGAGAACAGAATCTCCAAACATTCATATGCACATACAGATAAAGAATGGGCCAGTGGCGAACCCAATGATATCACCAATTATTTTTGATATTAAGAGCTCAATCAAGTACAAGCACTAGGCTATCTCATTCAGAGGTCTACAATATTCAGTAGCCGAATTGCATTGTCTATGTGTTAGTGTAAAGCTTTCAAGGCTGCTTGATTTGAGCAAGTTTCCGCGATGCCTTTTGGGTAGCCAACACTTCCGCTTAGCATACACAGCAGTGATCAGGGAGACGAAAAAATGTACCAACCTTAAGTTTGGGTGTGAAAAATCTTCCACCGACTCCTGCAAGTTTTGAGTTATTTGCAAAAAAAAATTTTTGAAGTCTACTATACCAGACCTTTCGTGTTGGCATCAGAGCTTTGTATTTCTTATCTTAGTATAGTTAAACGGCTTTAAATTCGCTCTATTAATGCGCCGGCTTCTCTGAGATATGCTGCCAATATACGGCTACCTCACGAGCAATTCATTTAAAAGTCCGTCGTCTCGTCGGCAGGCAAATTGCGAGCGTGTTTATGTAGTGAAAGAGAGCTTCCCACAAAAACCAGTTGCCGTTCGGAGAAAGCGTAAAACTGCAGTCCCTCCTCTCGACTTCAGTGACAACATCGAGACGCACATGACAAATCGGTGGAGATGCTCGTCCAAAAGCTTAACAAAAGAAGATCGCATACGACTGAAGGTCGAGGCTATTTAAACAGATGTTTTCAAGCTAAACGAAAGTTTCAGCAGTGGGTTTCACTCCAGCGAACTCGTACTACATCTCAGATTTCCATTACCGGACCACCGGTTCGGTTTTCAAACCGAACTAAACGCCACAAAGGAGGTCCCTCGATGGCTCATAGCTTCCACTGGCCCAGTACGATATGTCACTATTTTGACAGCCAAATGTCCCTGGACTGTTGTACGGGTGCCTGGATACAGGGGTATTTCTAGCAACTGCATAACCGACGAGTTGACAAGGGAAGAAACGAAAATAGACGTGATCAAATCTGCTCAGCACGTGGGCAAATCTTTAACCTTCTTCAAACAGAGAAAGACTAAGCCTCTCGAGGAGGTGGGTGCTGGCACCCAGCTATCAGACTTCCAGATATATATGGGCAAAAGTTGATGTAAAGCGATCTAAAGCTCTCACCCATTGGGGTAACTGCTCCTCTCTGAGATTAGTAGTTGGGGTAATAATAGCACTTTTTTATGTGCACGCATGGACGCGTTGGCGCGCAGAGACGAGGAATAAGTGGAAATCATAGAAAATTATCCCTGCCACTGTTACCTTGCATAGTTAAATTTTTTAAGCGACGAGAGCGATGAGAATACTCTCCTAACCTTGACTGTCCTCCAAATCGAAATGCCTCCTAGTTCCGAACTTTGCGGATGCGCAGTTGATGGGTGAGTACAACCAGGGCCTTGTCTACCCGGAGTGCTGAGGTAATTGCCTCTGCTTTTTCGAGGAATGCTCCACCAGGATGTATTACTTAAGTTTAAGTGATTTAAGTGAAGAGTTTTCGTCGATCTGCAGTTACAGTAACCGGGCTAGGCTTCGGATGGAAGTATTACATTAACATAGTGTCTGATGTGGGTTTCCAAAATTCTACCCAGTTCTTTAATAAAAATTCTGATAAGCTTATTGGCCTTTCCACTCGGTATGGCTTAGCTATTAAAGCAGATATAATAAAAATTCTCTTTTCGCTTTTATGTCGCTATGCAAAACTTACCAAAGCCCTTATTGCATATGTATGCGAATAAAATTCTTCGAGTGACCGCAAAAATATGTATGCCACCAACAGCGAGTCATTTTCGGAATTATTCAACCGTTTTAGACACATAAATATGCATTGCTGTCTGCGCACGGGTATGTACAGTGGGCCGCATAATGAGCGGAAATCAACTGCCCAAAATGAAATAAAGAATACCTGACACAAAAAAAAAACAGAAAATAAAAAAATAATTTAAATACAAAAAACATTAAACATTACAGCAGACAATTGCCAATTTGTTGTGGTCGTTGCGCTTTTTGTAGCGCGTCGCTGTGCGTATGTTTGTATGTGTATGAGTGTACGCGTGTTAATGTAAGCGGNCAATGCAAAACATTTAACTGCATTTTTTCAGTGATTAAAAAATATTTTTTTTCGTTCTGAATTTTTTAAATTTTATTTTATTTCCTTGCGCAGCAGTAAATGACAAAAAAGTGCAAGCAGCAAGCGAAGTTAAAGTGAAGCAAAGCAAAAGTGGTAAACAATCTGTGACATATAGTGCAAAAGAAGTGAACGAAAAAAAGGAGCAAAGCAAGTAAGCGGAAAGGAAGCAAAAAGCGAGTTTAAAAAGTGAACAAAGAAGTTTTAAAAGAAGTATTAAGAAAGTCAGAAAAAACGGGAGCAAAAAGGGGAGTGAAAAAGAGGAGCAAAAAATGTGAGAAAAATTTTTCCAAGAAAAAAATATGCAAAAAAAGTGACAGTTGTGATGAGTGAAGCAAGCAAATGTCTGTGAAGTGATTGTCGTTATACATATGTGTATGTATGTATGTATGGAGACAAGAAAAGCAAGACCAACAAAAACTAAAGAAACAGCAAGCAGCAGCATTTGCTAACTGCACTTTGTCGCATTGACAGTTAATTTGCTGTGGAGCGCCGCGAATGTAGCCAACAGCGATCAAAAGTACCAGCAGCCGCAAAAGAATAACAAAAAAAGCTGCAGCAAAAGCCTTAGCAACTCTTTTATTGCTGCTCGCTTGCAAAAAAAAAATCCAACCTTTTCTCTACCTTCCCCCTCTCCACTCATTGTCAAGCGAGCTGGTTGTGTTGCCACGCCCCGAGTTAACTGTTCGATATCAAAAAGCAAAACCGCTGAGAACCAACAGCCGCCTGGCCTCTTAGCGGCCCATTAGTGTCTATAAAAACAACAACACTCCATTGCAACTAGCCAAAAACCAGACAGAAAAAGAAACGATAGCAACAACAACAATAGCCAAGAGTTGCACTAACTGCATCCGACGTCGCTGCGCCATCAGCTCAACCTCAGCTGTCATTAGTTGACGTTTTAATTGCGGCTTCGATTTGCTGCTTTGCAATTTGCATTCAAACTCGGCAAGACAATAGCCGCAAACTGTGTGCAACAACAACAAAAAAACTCACAACAGCAACAATAACTACAATAAGTACATGCATAAAAGCCACATTATCTGTGCGCGCACGAAAGCGAAACGAAAAACGAAGTGTTCAACAAAGAAAAGTGTAAAAATTGCATATTTTCTCATTCTGCCCCCTCTGTCAGCCACCTAGTAGGTAACTGCAGCGCATCAAGTCCGTAGTGCTATCAAGCTTAGATTTAGCTGTGTTTTCTCTATTGGTAAGTATCTATGAGAATTTCATGTTTTTATCACTTTGTAACTTAGTTGCATTTTACTTGGGAATCTGTACTCAAAGTTGACGTGCGAAATGACAAATTATTCTAATAGAATTATCGTATGCTGATGACAGTGTTGGGAAGCGTTTTTACACTGGCTTCTTTTTTATTTTTTATTTTTTTGTAATAAATATGCATTTTCACATCGTAATGTACTGCTATCTATGTACATTAGGGTGGTCCTCAAAAAATCAAATGAGCGATTTTTTCAGTCTCACCTCTTCAATCGGTAATTCGACGGTCACATATATCACATAAAAATTTTGATCCCGATTGGAGACCGTTAAGGCGTGTCGCACAGGGGCCAAAATTCAGATTCCTCTATAGAGACTGAAAAAATTAAAATTAATTTTTTTGCCAACACATACCAAAAAAAAACCCGATACTACCGTAGTTGAAGATATCACATAGAAATTTTGGTCCCTATTGGAGTCGGTTAAAGTGTTTTGCAATGGCGTCCAAGGCCAGCTGCTCCACGGAGACTCAAAAAATTAAAAATATTTTTTTCATTTCATACCCAAAATCGATACTACCAAAGTCGAATATAACACATACAGCTTTTGGTCCCGATTGGAGTCGGTTAAGACGTTTCCATAGGGTAATCTGAACTTTGACCCCTGTGCGCCACGCCTTAATCGACTCCAATCGGGACCAAAATTTATATGGGATATCTTCGACTATAGTAGCATCGATTTTGGGTATTAGATGAAAAAAAATTATTTTAATTTTTTGAGTCTTGACACGCCTTAACCGTCCCCAATTGGGACCAAAATTTATATGTGATATCTTTGACTATAGTAGCATGGACGTTGGGGTTGAGGCTTAGGAAATCTGATGTCAAAATTTGCTTCCTACATTTAAGGTCCACCCTAATGTACATACACGTGTACGTGGTATGGTGTGAAACGCTCATCGGCTGAGTCATACCTAGTCGACAAGCTAACGGCGTAATTTAAATTAAACTTAATGCCAGTTGAATGATATTCCATGACAGTTCTTCAAGTGTTTTCGCTAATCCTAAAACAGGCTAACTTCAGATAAGCTTTTCATAATGAAAAAAAACAGCGTTGCTGAGAACAGAGAAAAAAAACTGGCAATCGAAAAAGCACAAAGTCTCCATTATTCGGTTGGAAATGAAAATTATTTTTAGACAGTTTTCTTACTATATTTTGTAGTTAGGCCTGATAGGGAAAGCTTTGCTCTATCCATCCATTATATAACCAGCCAGCAAAGAAACGTAAATTTTGCCGACAGTGCAGTTTAGTTCAATTTTCCGTATCCGAAAACGCATACAAAAAACATCCACAGTTATTATCAATTTTCGTATCCGGAAAACGTTCAAAAAAGATGATGTCATTTGAAAGCAATAATTGTATTTTATTTGCTGAAGCTAACCATTTGAAAGCATGCATACGTAGTCGGCAGTGGCTGAGCGTGCAGAGGAGAGTGCCGCTATTTGTTAGCTTCCAGAAGGTGCCGGGTCGAATTCTGTCAGGCGATTCCTAATTTTATTTTATTTCCATTGAACCATGAAAAAGTATCTGTGAAGTGCAGAAGAAAAGCGTATTGAACGAAAAATTCTATCAGACAAATTTCAGAAAAAACAGCCGGAAACGTATCTTTTTCACCACCATTTTCAGTACTTTTTTGTACATACGTTTCTGCCGCACACTTTAGTGTTAAAAACGGATCATTAAAGTATCCGCAAATGGAATCGGTAAACGGACAAAAATCCGGTTTTCATCGACTTTTTTTTCGTTTTCGGATCGGTTTTCGAATTTTTTGTTGGCTGGGTAGCGATTCTAAGCTACTCTCTTCCAATATACTGTATTTTTTATGGTGTGGCCCTTTTCCCGTTATCCTTACAAATAACACGAAAGCGAAAGTGAGTTTGTTTATTTGTTAGGCTTTCGCGCTTTAGCACTGGTGTCATTTATCGACCTATCTCGGCAGCCAGTTCGAAAACGCCCTATCTCAAAAAACTTTTCAAGAATGCCCTATTTCAGAATTTTATTGAAAAACACCCTATCTCAAAATTTGGTTGAATAACGCCATATCTCACTTCAAAATGTATTGAACATGTGCTAAGATAAGGCGTTTTTAAATCGGCAGCTGAGATAGGACGTTTTTGAAAAGTTGTTTGAGATAGGGCGTTTTCGAACTGGCTGCCGATATAGATCGACCTATCCACTCAGCAGTCGATTTATGATAGAGAACTTGAATTTGATTTGGACAAATATAAAATCAATTCGATATTCATGGAGGAGGGCTGCACCCACTTGACTTAAGGGAATTATTTATTGGAAATTTGTATTACATATTGTCATATGAAAGGGTCTTAAAAAAGTTGCAGTTTAAAAACATTTTGAAAAGGGTTGCCACCTTTTTGAAAATTAATTATACGCAAGCTATATGAAAAATGTAAATATTGGTGTCAAACGAAAGATTGTTAAGAAACCTTAAGTTTTAATGTTTAGAATATACAAATATTTTACAAGGGTTACCACCTGTTTCAAGATTAAATTCGATTAATTTAAATTAGTTATGACAATATGCATTTCTATCGAAATGGTTCTGAAAAGTCATTATTTCTAAACTACATGTAGGAGGGTTGCCACCTATTTGAGAAATAAAATTTTGCTTGAATTAAGGAAATTAGATAATTGGCATATAAAACAATATGGGTGTCAGACCAAAGGGCGTGTAGCTTGAAATTTTTTGAAGACGCTTGCCTCCGTTTTTAAAAGTATAATTAAATTAAATTATACGCAAGTCAAAGTGTCAAGCACAAGTGTATTTAGACATCTTTAGTTTGAACATGAATTCTCTTAGTTTTTTGAAGAACACCACTCCACTCTGAAATATTCTTCAGGAATGGTTAGCCTCATCCTTGCGAGAGCTGGACACTCGCAGAGCAAGTCGTCGACTGTCTATTTTCAGCCCGGGTTATCGCAGCTGCGGCAGAATCCACTGAAGGGCAGTCGTATCCTTTCGGCATGCACCCCAACGGGCCAGTGCGCTGTGCATACTGTAGTAAGTTTTGTAGGCATCATTTTTGCTAATTCCTAAGATTGCTTTGGGCTTGAGGTCGTTGGATACCCAGAACTGCCGGGTATTCCTGTAAGATCATGTGCAGTTCCACCTTTGCTGACCTTCGAATGATAAATTTCGGTAATTTTTGTCTTAATCTCTCTGAGCGAGGCGAACATATCCACCGCGTGGCACACATTCAGTGCGGAGCCGCTCCATGCTAGTTCGTCCGCTGCCTCGTTTCCGTAGATGGAAGGATAACTTTAAGATATATTGCTCAATGAAAACCCCAGCACCAACTCTGCATTCCATCTTTGACCCATCCGTCCAAACAGTTAAGCCCTGCAAGAACCCGAAATTTTCCTGGTTCAGTGGGCAGCGCTTTGATTTCAGACTGTATTGCGTCTAGGTTGGAACCGTGCCCTCCAGAGACCCAGGGCACGCAGTCTGATGGCGCTGTTAGCAGCGGTCTTTATTTAGAGCAGCTTGTCCTTATAAAACGGACACTGATGTTCTCAGGAATTATTCTTTTCAAAACTATGGCCTTGAATTGCTTGAAGATTGACTTTAGAAACAGCTGAAAAACTGTGTGTCTTTTCCGTACTTTGTGCCCCATACTTTCTTCACTCTTCATAGCTCGAAAGCTAATAGCCCATTTCGCCTCCTTCGATCACTCACATTACTTGCATGTTCACTTAAAACCAGCATTTTTTTTATGGTTTATTTTTATTGTCTTCTGCGAATATTTACAAACAATTAAAGGTATTAAATAGCAAGATTTTCTTTGAAAGTGACAACAACAAAACCCTTGCGGACGTAAACCACGCGTATGCTGAAGTACTCGTACGTAAGCAGCAAAACAAAGCTTCTACTATTTACTCGCACTTCCAACTGTGTTGACTTGGCCGCCGCGGCACAGTTGGCACGACTATGTTTAGAGCCAAATTGTCTGGTGTTTGTGGACAAATGTGTTGATAAATGCTTTTAACTGTTTTCAAATGCTACAGAGAGAGGAGGTAATCAATTTAGTAGTTTTTTGTGACTGCATTTTTTTTTATTTAATGATCTGTAGAAAAAATGTTTATATTCTAGTAGGTAAATTTTAAATAAATTTATAAAAAACTTTTCCTTCAGAAGATTACTTGGATAAAGTAGAGGTATTCTTTATATTGAAATCAAAAACTTCAAATACTTTCTAAGAGAGTTTTAAACACAATTTTCAAAAAAATTTGTTGGAAGAATCTTAGGTTAAAACGAGTTAAGATTTAAATTTAAGGAAACAAATTTAAATTGCTTTGTATAAAATTTATTATTCAGATTTCTAGGAAAGTATATTACAGAAGAATTCTGGAATAATTATATTTATGAAAGTGAAATTTCTGTTGAAATGAGAAAATTTTTTCAGTTTTCGAGCCAAATTTTCCATAGTAAGTTTTTAATGTAACTTTTTTTTAATAAATTTCTTATGCAGTTCTCTAAAAAAATCATTGCTTAAGAATTCTAGGTTTATGGAAGTATATGTAAAATTGAAATAATAAAACTAAAGTATTTTTCACTTACATAAATTTATTACTAAATTTTCTCGTCAAATTTTTGCAAGTTTTAAATTAAATTTTCAAAACGAAGTTATTGGAAAATTGAAAGCTGAGTGGAGCTAAGAAAAAATATTGGAGAATGGTGGACTAA